GTGTTCAATCTTGATCAAGTCTTGGTCTCCACCCAAAATATGATACATTTCAGGACAAAATGTAATCGCCAATACTTTGTCCTCCTGAAGTTGGATCAGTAGGCGACGAGATATTTTGTGGTACTCGATCATGACACTTCTTTTGGCTTTCTCCAAAGCTTTACCAAACATGAAATTGAACCTGTCAGCAATGTTATTCACCACATGTTGACCACTAAAATAATAGCCCACATGAATTTTCAACTGAAAAGTGGTTTGTTTAGTTTTGGGGTCTTGTAATTTTATCATGTCAGCTACATTATTCCCTTAATTTAAAGCTTTTTGCACAAGTTTGTCATAAACGTCTACCGTCAATGTGTTTTGATATTTGACGATGTTTTACGATTTGTGTAAGGTGAACCATTTACACCAAAGCCACTTCCCAAATGGGCTTCGTGATCCACTTGAATGGACTGAGGTAATGTTGCCGTGTAACAGCACAAAGTGTTATTTGGAAACACCTCAATGGAACTGTCACTGGGTAACGTTACGTGAAATTGGTTATTCATCATGTTTGGTTAAGCGCTTTTCTTTTGCATGACGACACTGTCTTTTCCTTTTCCTTTCTGGACAGGAGAAAGACAATGAGGTGACACCTTTTGGTGTAAAACAACTTACACACTACACGTCGACTAAAATTCAATTGATAAAGTTCTCGTAAAAGGTAATGGTAATACTTCACCGATCAAATATTGTCATTGATCTTCTACAAATTATAAAACTCGTGGCATAATAGAACGATTTTATTCCTCCTATTTTTGGCTGCTATATATGTACTTTCTGCACAAATCTTTCCGTATTCCGTAGACGTATCCAAAATATTTAGTCACTAACTTGCACATGACACACCCTTCAGAAGTTTCCTCTTTAACTTAGTTTACATTGTGTGCAAGATTTTCGTAACCCTCTAACTCTTCGATTCGGTAAGTGTACCTGGTAGCAAACATAATCACTATCAACATTACAGTTTTTCTCGCCCATGAGTAGTTGATCAAAGTCTGACCACTTGAACACTTTCATCAGTATCAATCCACTTATAGGTACCAGTGGTTCAAACATTGGTGACGTAATGGATGCAATTGTTTTTTGCGTTTGCCTTGTGTTTTGACCAACTCTCGGTAAATGCATCCTAGCAACTCCACAGGCAAGCTACGAAAGTTATCTTGCAAAGTATCTATGACGATTTGTCAAACAATTCTCTTAGAGCGAAAGTAATGAACGTAGTGAGTAATATCTGACCTCTTCTATTCCATTAAATAAAATCTTCAAACGTTAATGGTCTAAAGTGAAATAATATAACGAACACACCTTTGATCTAGAGAAATAAGACTTGTATGTTGACTTAGGTTAATTTCCTCTTGTAAATTTCTCGACATAAATGTTCTACAGTCATTAATTTATATTTTGCTCTGACAAGTCCATGCAAAATGTCCTTGTAGAGTATCTCTTCCAAATCGATTGGTAATGCTTGAAGATTATTTTTTATATCAGTTTTAACTACTTGTCTAGGGATTTTCCAGCATTTGACTCCTAACCACGTAGCTGATTTCTTACACGACATAGATGGCCCACTTCAATGACGAGGTCCCACTAAAGATAGGTAGTGACAATCTGGAGACCATCGAGCATGTTCCAGGTAAGCGCAATCTTTCTACTCCCACTCGTGCAGTGACACACCGCAACGGAAACGCTTGAATTTCTCCCTATCGCCCAAGTAGATACAACCAGCTCTAGCTAATTCTTCGGGGGTAGGTCCTCACAAATAATTTTGGCCATTTTCCTCTAAAGGTTTGGAATCTACTTTGAAAGTCGCAATATTCATTCAAACGCACAGGAAACGAATATCAGTCTTTCACACGTTCAATTCAATGAGGACTTTACTCAGTTTTGCATGACATGTATAGGGTGGTAACCGTTTGGTCTTCCTGAAAGATGGACATCCCCCATAAAAACCAGAAAAGTGAAAAGGTGAACGATAATAAGTGGCATCTCTTTCGCATCCGTCTCTTATACCATCATCATCACTTCCTATGGTAGGTGTAGTTATAGCTAAGTTCTCATGATGATGTGGTACTGAATCACTGAGGTAACAGCGTACGGCATCTCTGCAATTGCAAGGTACAGCATCGCATTCGAGTTTGCTTTTGCTTGATACTTGAAAATATTCATCTTTCTCTCTTGGTACTTGTAGTGACAATGAATTTCTTGTCTTAGACGTTGTCCCTTTTTATATGCTGACCAATATCGGTGTGTCCATTAGGTAAAATCAAGTGGTTGGGAAGCCGTACTCACTTCTGGTACACGATTTGATAGACTTTTTCCAAGGGTCTACTAACGATTTAATGTGTGGGTAAACAATCTTGTCTGGTTTGTATGTGGTCACTATAAAGTTTTCTTGCTGTGCATACGGAAAAGCTTCTTTTAGTATGCCAAAGTTAGTTTACCACTCGACTAGTGAGATATTTGAGAGTCAATCCTTTCACTTTACACTCCGTGTGTACTTCTCCTACGGGGTCACGGTATTCGTAGCCGTAATGTTTGGGACTGCCACTTGCAAAACTTAGAATCATGTCTGCGGGATGCTCTTCCGTCCAGGCTCCTAAACGGTCTCCTTCGATTTTAAGGTGTAGTTGACCCAAACGATCGATTTCGATGCAACTTTCCGTGTCAAAATACAGTACACGATCTCATAACTGTTCTAAAGCTTCGTACAGTTTTAAGCGAGCATTGGCAGTCACGTAAGTTGCAATGATAACATTTCCAAATTAGTCGGTTTCTTCAAAGTCCAGTTCTTCTTCGTAATTGACTAAGATCAAGTCTTCACGAAGGATGTGCACGTTATTCATTCATTTGGTTTTGTCGTAAATCATCTGAAAGTAACAGTAAGGGTCTTTCAAATACTCCGTTTTGGGTAAATACGGGCGTTGTGCCATTTTGCCCAACAAAATGTTGGGAATCGATCACCTTACTTCGTTTTTCTAGACGTGGTCTAAAGTGATGCCTACCTGTTCTTTAAATTTGTCGTGGCCTTCGCGAGTCTGACAGCTGGAAGAATAACCACTGGCTTCTTGTTTCAGTTTTAGAAAGACATTTACGTAGTCTTTGAAAATGACTTTCTAAGTCTCGTAGCCCTTGTGGTATTTTTCGGTCTTGGTAAAGTGATAAATTTCGTACACTTCTAACAAGTGTTATCCATGTCCAGAGCTTTAAACAATTCCACAAAAATCCACTTTCCCGTCTAAGCGCGTTTTTCCTGAGTGTGCTGACAAGGTTGGTCTTGTTTGCATATTTTGGCACAAGTACGAGACAATGGAAACATCAGTTTTTCTTGGCAATAATGTGGTAACATGGGATGGTACAAGTACGTGGGAGGCAAGACTTTGGACTTGATCATCGACGATGTGTTCCGTCAGCAATTGTGGGTGTCAGGCGGAGAAAGTGACACTATTTATACACGTATGAATACAAGATAACATACGTCCAAGTATTTGATTTATTCGTTCTCCTCGTTGGCTTGGTACAGCAAACAGGTAGCTATCGTCCGTTCTCCGAAAAAAAAATGTCTCCTGGATTTAATGGCCATTAGCTTATAACTTTTCACGATGCGCTTAAACTCGGAATCGGTTTTCAATTGCTGACCGTACTCGTGTTCCCACATTTCTACCGGTTGGTATCCTTGCTATTGTAACTTCAAACCTCGCTGACAAGTGGGCTCGTAGAAGTCTTCTATGGTCCGTTGTAAAAACTGTGTTTGGTGTTATGTTGATGGTTACATATAGGGCATCCATGAAATAAACTCGTACACGATCTTGGGGTTTTTAAAGTCCCAGCCATCTACCGAATATCTTCCGATGGCTTTTTCACCTCCACCTTTGCGGGCATGTTGGATCAATTTTTCTTCCTTGTCTCACAAGTAATGTAGCAGAGTTGGGCCTTGACCGAATATTGACATTTGACAAAGTTGGTCGTTTCAGGACTGATGACAGCCAATTTGTTTTCTGACATGAATCGTTAACGGTACACTAAGGAACATGCTTTGTCAATGGTGCAAACTTTTGTCAAAGGATAGATCCCTCCGTGCATTATTAATAATTTTAGAAATTTTCCACAGCAACAACCCATAATGTCTACGTTGGAATGACAATATTTTAATATTTCTTCCTGAAAGTCGAAAGCGTACGAGACATGAGTCTGGTACCAAGCTTAGAATGCTTCTCGTTGTTCGGTATTGTCTTGGTCATATTAGTAAAATTCAGGCAAATGGGGTAAAACAGCGCTTTGACTGGCTTCAGTATTGAAAATGTGCGGAAAATAACCTTTGACCATTTTTGTTATGTCAAAGGTTTTAGGCACGCGACACAAAGGCATGGCCAAGTAACTGGTCGAATCTTTAAACTGCACTTGTCCCACTTGCATGAAAATGATTTGGCTCCGTACAAAGTTAGTTTAGGACGCTCGGTGCTTTGTTCCGTATAGTTTCTCAAAAGAAACTGTCCATCGTATCCCGAGAAATTGTGAGCCGTCACCGTGGCATAGCGATGACAATCTCCGTAACGTTCGATGTCTTCTTGGATCCACATCTTGTCGATAGGGTCTAAGATTCAAAATCGGCCAATGTGCTCGATCCCAGAAAGATTTTGTTCAAGTCATCCAGGAATCTCGCTAAAGTAAGGGCAATGAGTCAAGATAAGCTCTTGGATGCACTTCTTGTACGCTCTGTGAGTCACGCATAAATTAAGAATGTGAATGCCAGTCTCTTGCATGCATTTAAAGTCGAAAAAGACGAAATGGCCCTTCTTCTTCTGGTCATTATCTTCTTCTTCATATTTGGAATAATATTTTTAAATGCAGCATTGGTGTTCCAAGTGCACGGTTTGGCGATGATTGCGACATCGTTTCTTTCCAGAACAGATGCGCTCCTTGACATTATAGGTACGTATGCCTTCTCCACAAGTACGATACAATCTCCGGTAGCCTAGTGGTTAGAGCGTCCGCCTTGGATGCGGCAGGTCGCGTGTTCGAACCCCGGTCGATTGATACCCATGCCTTTAAAAGATGTTACTAAAAGCTGCCTCGCGTGGTGCTCAGCGTTAAGAAGTTAGTGTTAGGACTGGTTGGCCAGGATAATGTGACTTGGTGTCCCAGTACTAGACATCACTATAAACTGTCACACTGCAGACGTCGTAACGATATGACTGAATAATTGTTAAGGAAACGTTACAAATCTAAATCACACACACAATCAATGGGCGATGATTTAATATTGCATTTATTAAACATGTCTGGATAATGATCAGCTTTTGCGAGCCTTGGAAGTAATGAGTTTGTTTGAATATTATAATTATATTCAGTCCAAACACGGAATCTATGACCATATACTTATTACATGGACGACCATGCTGAATGTATGTACAGGTCAAATTAAATTGAAAATTAAGATTTGGAGTTCATATTTGTAGTCCTCTAAGAATGTATACATTATTTGGAGGTATATGTTATGAAAATAAAACGGCTTTTTGTATTTATTTGTTAGTCAGCACTTTTAAATTTGATGATGTGTTAATTAAAATAAATGTACTATGTGTTTATATATAGTTTGTTAATACTAAATATTGCGAACCAACATTGAGCAAGTTGTATTTATTTACTGTAAGAAACAAAAAAAAATATCATTATGTCAAAACAAGACAAGACGAACTTCTCTATCAGAAAGTATCTGAAATTAATTTGATTTCTTTCCTTAAATCAACATGTTCTAATTTCACGTTTAAGATGAATTCAAGCAAACAGATTCTTGATAATGCATCGATAAAAGCGTTTACGTTTTGCATTATCGGCCGTCTAGTAGTAGTAGCAGTAGTAGTAGTAGTAGTAGTAGTAGTAGTAGTAGTAGTAGTAGTAGTAATAGTAGTTATCAACTCAAATATATAATATTTGTGATAGATGAATGAAATGAGACTAATATTTTTAGACTGCGTTATTTAAATTTCGCTCAGAATCTTTTCAGGGGTTGCCTTAAAACAACAGAAAAATGTGTTTGTATAAAACGGTCCTACCCTGGTCAATTGTATATTCCCAAACTCCTACGATATCATAAATTTTTATAAACAGGCCGATCGTGAGGAAAGATTGAAGAATGGTGATTTTATTATATCTTCATTCATATGTTTGTCAGATTCGTGTCACATTAAACAAATCCATGCGAAACCTTCCTGACAAGCTTTCTACTGTGTCACTTTGTAAGTAATCGTTTCAGGATAAAGGTTGTTGTCCAAAAAAAAAAAAAAAATCGTATATCCTTACATGTCAGAACAGGGCAGGCTACTTCTTTTAATACTTGCTCTATCCAAATGTAAGCTATAAAAACTAATTTAAATGATTTTGATAAATGTAAATTGTTCTTATTTTGTTTACGTATTCCAGAAGCTGCAAATGTCGTCTCTTCATAAAAGTCTGTCGAACAAAACCAAACTTCTGATAGAAATTACGGGCTTTTAATATTCACACTTATATTTTTTTCTTTTTATGGTATTAAAGCTTTCTAATAAACAGAAAAGTTTTGTTTGAAAGACATACTTTAAAGAAAGAAGAACAATTTTGCTAAATAAATTTGTTTAATTATTTTTCCATCTTCGAATAAATTCCAATTAATTACCAAATGCGTGATATATTTACTTCCATATATGAGCCATGGTCTGGACATTTTTAGAAATGCGAAACCTTGATCAACAAAAATCTGGAACTCACAAAATGTAGACATGTATGCTAAATCCAATTGTTTTTACTCAAGACAAATTTATTGCATAATTGAACAGTTAATATCAGCTATATTTTATAGGTTAATCTCAGCAACCTTGATGCTTAGTACCTTATTATGTATCGATTGTTGCATAACCTTTTATATCTGCACAGTGCTTGGTCAATGTGTTCATCTGCACATTTATTTTATTGTGAATTTTCAGTGCCTTTAATATGAGTATTTTCTTTTCTGTTAATTCATTTAGAGTAAATGTTTTGTTAGCTTGTCAAGCAAACTACGTCGGTAACGTTAAGAGAATGAATGACTGAAACGTGTTCTGAACTCCGGCTGTTAGAAATATCGGTAAACAAAAGCAATAGCGTCGAAAAACGAGTCGGATCAGTTTATTTTAATCTAGATATAACCAGAAGATGATAACATAAAATATCGACTTTGTGATTTCTTTATATAATCTTTGTAGAAATTTACCAAACTTACTGTTTCATAGCAGCTCATGATTGTTGGAAGTTGATAATCAACTTTCTGGGGCGTGGGTATTATGGAGTCTTGGGTTTTTGTAGGTTTTTTTTATAGGTTTCTATGGGGTGTATATATATATATATATATATATATATATATATATATATATATATATATATATATATATATATATATATATATATATATATATATATATATATATATATATATATAATTCCTTGTTGAACATTTTCAATTTTCAGCAATATTTCGTTCTACTTAATTTGATAATTGGCACTGAGACGTGCTGACACACAAATACAGTTTCGGTGAATTAGCATTTCAAAATAATTAAGAGAATACGAAGACAAGAAAGTCAGATAGGTGAAGCAGAGTGAAACTCAAGGTGGTGTTTAAACGAAAATATAAAAAATGCAAATTGAAGAAAAGAGGAAAAAGTTCTGAAATACAGAGCAATTATATAAACAGAGACATATTATTCTGTCCGATAGTCGAAGAATATTGCAAAATGTAAGAAATGATGCAAAGGTGAGAACAAGTGAAATAGGTCAATAATTGCATAGAAATGAATAAATGTTAGATGTCTTTGAGATTCACATGGAAACAATTAAGAACTCTATAAGATTTTAGCACTTTATAAACAGAGCGAAGTTTGTAAGAAATGACTTAGTGGTTTTAAAGTTGTGACAATAGCAACAAAAATGATGTAACAAAAATTTAAAGTAAAAAACGAAAAACTTGAAATGAAGTTTGGACTAGATCTACCAGAATGACGTACGATTGCCAATCAATGAACTACTTTCTTTTCCCATTGATGAAGTATATATACCATTATACATGCTAGCCAAACCCATAACCCTATATTAAAGGCAACTGCATTCTTTTAGTTTGATCTTCCCTTTTTCCCTCTCTTTTTCACCCCATCAGTATTAACAGTTTTTAAAATATTCCAACACTGTACACCATCTTGTTTAGGGAATCAGCGAGAAGAAACAATCAAAAAATGCATAAAAACGATCTCTACATAATTAGGCTTCAACTACTAACTTATTTTTGTAATTAAGTTTCATCATGAGTCAAGCAAATTGTCAGTGACTGAAGTTACACCTTTTCCAGCTTGATATTCTAGCAAAACACAATCCATCCCTAGTTTTCCTGTACATTATACCAATAATTTACCGAGGAGTAGGCTCCATAAATTGATTGATGAGTGTTTGTAAACTGTTGCATGATTTATTTAAAAGGTCTTTGACTTAAAATGGTTTGGAAAATGAATTTTAAAAAAAATCTTTATAACAAACATTTTGTTATCTTCAATAATTTCTACACCTTGAACTTCTCCACTTTGTCCTATAGAGATACAGTGTCCTTGTAAAACACCCCCTTACTCAAAATTCTCTCCATTTAAGTGCAAAAATGCAGAAGATATTCATTCCTTTTGAACAAAGAGTTCGATATTCAGAAATACATAAATATTCCCAGCCTTTAATAGTAAAGGGCATCACTATATTATATACATATTACAGTAATTATCAGTAGTGTTTTCCACGATCGCCTGTCTTTAAAACATCAGGCTAGCAATTTTCATGTGTAAGGCATGCTACTGTACTCTAGCATTTAGTCCATACAATTCTCACTATCTTAAAAATGTACTTAAATGACGTTTCCAAATTCCAAAATATTTTAACAAGAAATGCAGATGTTTGAATCTAAGTTCCGTGAGTGCTAATTTATGCTATAGTTAAAAAGGGTATTCAAAAGTCTAACAGTTATTGTTCTACACAGAAATAGCCCAATAACATTTAATTCTTCCAACTCTTCCTTTGTACTCTTTTCATAAGAACGCAATGTAAATTCACATTATAATATGCAATGTTCTCATATACATAACATAAATAACAAAACTCTAACAGTAAGTATGCATATCATTTTTATACAACCGCTAAGAAAAAGAGAATCATATTTTACAGTCGTATTATAGTTTTTACGTCTTGTAAATGACCCTGCAAGTCCAAAATGTGTCATATAACACTAAACGATAATTTCCATAGCCTATTTCTACGCGATACAGAAACACGTATCGCTTACGGAAACAGAGTACATTGTTCGCTTAATCGCCTTACATCAACTAAGGATGGATCATTATGCCCATGAATATGTCTAGATCTCATTCATTCTCACACTAAATCAAAGACACTTATTTTCTTCATTATTGTCTTTAGATGTAACTTCGTTAATATTAATACTAGTGGTATGATCTGAACAATTATGTTTCATAAGAGTAGGTTTTAAGTTGTTTAAATCCAGTGTGCTCTGACGTAGCTTCTAAATAATCTTTTTCACTCGTTTATAATGTATTGCCCAATTTCGTCAGTGCAAGTTCTACCCTCCAAGTTTAAACGTAATCAGATTACTGAGAAGCATAGATCAGCAGTCAAATTACTAAACAAGCTGCTTTAAGTTAAGACTCATTCAACAAAAACACCGCTTGTATATACTTGTATATTCGAAAATTGGTAGAAAATAGAGCGAATGCAGGTTAAATGAAGTTTTCTTTTCATAGAGTATTTTGATTTTTATGCGTCAGCGCCTGGCTTAAAGTCTTTTGATGCCTTTATCTGTTGGAACTAATCATTGCCTACCATTTAGCGGAACGATGAAACCCAAATGGAATTACGTCTGTGAAATTTCATTAATGTTACAGATATTCAGACCTCCTTGCTGAAATTTAGACCAGATAACGGTCTTAAAAGAAAACAATTTGTTTTTTAAAATTGCTAAGTGAAATTACTCTTCT